TCAAGAGTGGGCAAAGTGGTGCTGTGAGTGTCATCATCTAAGTAAAATTGCAGTTCCAAGATTCATTTTGAATCCCGAAGCCGATTCCATAGAGATCCATTGCTTTTCAGATGCCAGTCAGAGGGCGTACGGTACTGTTGTCTACGTAAAACTGCGTAAGCAAGAAGAAATTTCTGCGAGTTTTGTCGCATCAAAATGTTGTGTTGCACCTGTGAAAAGAATTACGTTACCTCGTCTTGAATTACTTGGTGCTTTACCAGCAGCCCGTTTAGGTTCTGGAGTCAAAAAATTGCTCGATCAAAAGAAATCCTCGAGAATATTTTATTGGACTGATGCCAAAATAGTGTTATGCTGGATTAAAGGTACCAGTACCAAATGGAAATCTTTCATCGCCAACAGAGTTAACGAGATTAGGAAGTTAACACAGCCGACAGAGTGGTTCTATTGTCCAACAAAAGAGAACCCAGCAGATGTTATGACGCATGGTGTTCAAATTGACTTTCTTGTGAACTGTTCCAAATGGTGGTCATGCTGTGACTTTTTAACATGCTCAGAGATTCCTCATCACGACTTATCATTTGGGGTAGTTGAAGAAGTGTTTCCAAATGAACTTAAAAAGGACAATGAACTGCATAACGATTCTAACTTAGTTTTAATTGCATGTAATGAACCAAACCTCTTTAATGATATTCTTAATTTGACTTCTAATTATAATAAACTTATTCATATTGTAAGTTTCATTTTCAGGTTTATCCATAATCTTAAGAACCCTCAGGTAAGGAGATATGGAGTACTTACTTTAGAAGAGATAAAGGATGCTGAGGTGTATATTTTATTAGAGGCCCAAAAAAGTGAGTTTAAAGACGAAATAAATCAATTAAAAAGAGGTAAGTGTGTAAACCTCAAAAGTAAATTAGCATCACTGAATGTGTTTCTTGATAACATGGGGCTAATTAGAGTGGGCGGACGATTGTCCTATTCGGACCTACCCACTAATAGTAAACACCCTATAGTTTTACCTAGTAAACATCGTTTAACTACTATTATTTTAGAGCATTTTTCATTTAGGATCACAATCACTGTTACATCAAGTAAGACAAAGGTTCTGGCCACTCAATGGCAGAAATAATTGTAGAAAGATCATCTACAGATGTGTAACATGTTTTAAGAACAAACCCATCACAGTTCAACAAATAATGGCTGAGTTGCCCAAAGAGCGTGTCACACCATCATACCCATTTAACGTAACTGGTGTTGATTTCTGCGGCCCGTTTGCAATAAAGTTTAAGAATCAACGTAAGGGAGTTTTGAACAAAATTTATGTCGTAGTATATATATGTATGAGTACAAAAGCCATACACTTAGACTTTTGACAGACCAAACTAGCCAATCTTTTATTTCGAGCTTAAAACGTTTTTTCTCTAGAAGGGGAAAATGTACTAGAATAATGAGTGATAATTCTAAAACCTTTATTGGTACTAGTGTAGAACTAAAAAAATTGCAAAAATTGGTTGAGTGTCCAGATGAGAATTTAGCGAGTTTTTATACCACTGAAGGTATAGAGTGGAAATTTATTCCTCCAAAGTCGCCAAATTTCGGCGGAATTTGGGAGGCAGGGGTTAAATCATTTAAGAGTCATTTGAAGAGAGTTATTGGTAATCAGTGTTTAACTTTAGAAGAATTTTTAACTGAAATTAAAGGAGTATTGAACTCAAGACCTCTTACTCCAATTTCAGCTGATTACAATAATTTTGAAACTTTGACCCCAGGTCACTTTTTGGGTGGTAGACCTATCACAACTCTAGCTGAGCCAGATTTATCCAACATAAATGAGAACAGACTTTCTAAATGGCAAAGAATCACTAAGTATACACAAAAAATTTAGAAATTATGGAAACGTGATTATCTGAATAATTTACAAGAACGTCACAAGTGGAAAATTTTAAAGGATGACGTTCAGTTGGGAACTCTTAGTTTAATAAAAGATGAAAATTTGCCTTCAACCAAATGGTTAGTGGGGAGAATAGCTGAGGTTTTTCATGGTAGGGATAACAAAATAAGAGTAGTAACTGTAAGATTGCCTAATCAGCATTTGCTGAAACGAAATGTTCGAGATATATGTATACTTCCTGTAGAATGATGGTTTATTTCTATTATAAACTGGTATTTGTTGTAATAATTTGAATGTATATTTTTCAATATTGTGATTTGTTATTGTGAAGTAATTTATTGTAGTGCCTTTATATTTACATTTATTTACATAATAGTTTTGAAATTGTTAATTTCAACGCCGGGAGTGTTTTGTATCAGCTGAGAAATGCTTGGCGACAGAGCGGAATGTTGGCTTATGGCGAATGCGCCGCCGGAATTGGCGTCGAAATGTATTCTGTGAGAAACTTGATTTATGGTACATTGTAAGTTGCGATTTATATGTTACGCGGTAAGGTGGAATCTAGCGCCTGAGTGTCGCTATGGAAAATAAATGTATTTAAATTGTGGAATGTGTGTGGAGTTATTTTATTACGATATACAGCTATCGACGGGAAATAGAAATAAGTCACTTCAGATATTTCAGAGTTCTATGACTGGAAACTGAGGGGGAGGGGAGGTCTGATGCCATGCTACCAAACGGTAAAATTATTTTGACTAGCGAATCTGAATCTAATAAAGAAAAGTATGAGATAATAGTGGGGATATACAGAAAAAGAAGTAAATGGCATGGTCTTGGAGGAATTCAAGAAACAAAAGTCTTTAATTTCGCTAAAGTTGACACATTTTTTCAGCAGCAAGCTTCTATTGTTCTTGTTGAATATGATACTTCAGATGAAAACAGTATTCTTCATATTTAAAATACAGTAGAAAGACATGATTCTGAATCTGCTACCAGTAGAATTGTTTTGTCAAATACAAAAGATGTTCCAGGTAAAGAAATATCAAGTCACCATAAACATGATAAAAAAAATGACAGAGGTGAATTAAAAGTAAAAAGTAACCATAAAAATTCTAAAAGCTTGAGAGAACATCATGATGGGAAGCATGCAAGTAATATATCAAAGCATAGTGCTACTTTACATGATCACAGTATAGAAAAAGTTTCAACTCACAAAAGGGAAAAGGATTATACGGAATTAAAACAAAAACCATGAAAAATCTCAAAAATCTCATAGGCCTCATTCTCCTCCAAGGAATGAACTTTTTCATCACACAGGCATAAGAATTTGCTCTTTTGTCCATAGATCAGAAATGAGAAAACTGCCATCACCATGCTATAAAGAATAGTACTGGGTTTCTACATCAAGATAACATTCTCGTCATATTCCTTCACCCAGAACTTCATATCCTAGAGACTGAAAAACTGTGAATGAGAAGTCCTCTCAGATCTCATAGTCCGATGCAACATAAACCTTCTGGACACTAGAACACTATGTCTCAGATTTTCGGACCTCATGTAGATCACATGATCATTATGTATCAAATTCCAGGAGTTCACATGGATCTTTTGACCATTATGCATCAGATTCCAGGGACTTACATAAGTAATCTAAACGATATATATCAGACTCCAGGGCCTCGCATAGAAGATCTATGGGTTGTGCAGTTTCACCTAGAAGGTATCCAAGTGATCAAACTAATAGTCATCGACAGAGTGGGAGCAGAACACAAAACCCTGAAAGGAACTAAAGATCACATAGCCCTAAATCTTATAGAGATAAAAAACGGTCTCATGATAATATGAGATTTACAAATGCTTCGAGATGAAGTGCCCATTGAAAATCTTGGTCAAATGGCACTTCTGGTCAAGATCAAAAACATAGGTCAAGTGAGAAAGATAAATTCAGGGGTAGTTTACCTGAAGAACAAAAAGTACAGCATGAAGATTCATCAGATTATCAAATTCTTGATCTCGAAGAAGGAGAGGGGGAAGAAGATGATGAAGAAATTGTTATTCGAAGATGTAGACTACAAAGGCAAGAATTATTAAAGAAACTGGGAGTGGAGCAAATTCAAGAAGGTACTGGCATGTCATCTTCAGCTCATTCCAACAGCAGAACAGATACACCTGATTCCACTACTATTGGCAATCAGGTGGCAGCTAATTTTGGAGCTGAGCAAGATGAACTGTCCAATGATTTTGAAGCTTCTATTCTGGATAAAAGAAAAATCATGAGTTTGCAAGAGGCTAATGAGGAAAATGCTACAGCTGATGGCACGGGGGTGGGGGTGGGGGACATGTTCCCAACTATGCCACTGATTAAAATCCTTCTGATACAAATATGTACTATCTCTCCAATATCTTTTGCAAAGACTAACAACAGAAAATACAAAATAACACAGAAAATTATTTCCTCATTGTATATTCTAGTATTATGTATTCAAAAATTAAGAGAAGCCAAAAGAATTTTTGGTTTGTTACCTAGTTAAATGCACATTATAATAGACAAGTCTTAGATACAATATTTTAACAATCCATATGGCTTAGCTGATTTGAGTAGACACATTATATTTTGGAGATCTTTATTAGCAATACTTGCTGCCCTTTTGTGAGATATGGAAAGACGCATTATGAGTGCAGACACAAGTAAAGAGGATATGAGTTGATTTTAAAATTTTAGGGCATATACATATATGGCACATGTTCTCATCATAGAAGCTGGCACTGCCATTGACAAAAGCATTTTGCTATTTAAAAAAGCTAATAAGAATAAACAGCAGATATAGAAGTAAGTAACAGTAAGAAGTATAGTATATAAAAGACAGAAAAATAGAAGTTTAAAATAAAATAAACATTTGTAAATAACTCTAATCTTAATGATAAAGCTGTATAAATTATGTAAAAAATTCTAACTGATATTTAATTTTTATCAATATTTAAGAACATTTTACTTTTTGTTTCATATATATAACTCCACTTTAATATAAATTAGCAAATTTTATAACTAACAGACTGATATTAAGCATTTACCATCATTTTTTTATTTCAATATAAAAATGAAAATTACCTTTCTCAACTGCATCTTCATTTGCAAAAGAACGAGCTGATTTTGCAAGCTTGGTATGAAAAATATCATTATTAGAAATAAAACAATTTCTTTCATCTTCACAATTCAGAGATATCGGAGATAAGTGCTTTGTATTAAAAAAATCAGAAGAGATTCTACTGAAATTACGTGACATATATTTTCCAGAACTACCTTTTGGCCCACAGACAAAAGTTAAATCAATATATGTGCAGTAAAACTGATTTTCAGGTCCAAATTCTTTAGATGGGATAACATGAGCATATGATTTGAGTTTCAACTGTTTACTGAAATCTTCAGAACACAGACTACAGTTGTCATTTGTAAATATTTTCAAATCTAAAATATTTGATTCAGTATTATTTATATAGCCACATGAGCTAAACAGAAGGCCAATACAACTCAAAAGTTTGCCACTAAAACCTTGAGATCCATCTTCTTTAAATGCCAAATCACATAATGAATGGCATTTTCTAAATGAATTCCTAGAAGAATCTGTATGTTTACTTGATTTATTCTTGCAGTTATTCAGATTACTAATTTTACTGTGGTGGCATCTAGAAGAAAAAGAATTTACATATGAGTTATACTTTAATATATACAAACAAGAAAGGAAAAAAATAATATTCTTTAAATGCTGACCATAAATAAACAGATAATAAATTAAAATACACATATTGGAAAGAAATGATATAACAATTACAAAAATTATCACACTAGAAAAGACTCAAATGTTCATATTATTTCACCCTGGATTTTATACAGTGGGTAAACAAAGTATTGGCAGTTGCTTATAATTGATCAATCTAGGTAACTAAGGAAATCCTTGACAATTTTAACTGCATATAATGAACACAAGAGGCAATAAAGACACAAATCTAATGAAACTTTCATTTTAATATGCCTTTTACATAAAATATACACCAAAAACATAAACTTGCATGTCAAAAAAAGTATTAGCAAAATCATACAGTAAAATGTGGGAACAGAATTTAATACTTTGTACTCATACCTTTTGCATTTATAACAGCTTGTAATCTATTTCTCATAGAGAAAACCAAAGTCTTGGTTGTTGAAAAAGTCCTGTTGGGAAAAACCAAAGTCCTGCTGGGAATTTTGTGTCATACTTGCAGGAGTATACGCTTAAGTTCATCTTCGCACGAAATTTTATGTTTCCTGATTTCTACGTCTAATTTGTGCCATAAATTTTCAATTGAATTTATGTCAGGCTACTGAAACAGTGTCTTTAACTGGCGAGGAGCGTTATAGAGTAACTATTGCCAGGTGAAGTTCACTATAAACTTGGTGTCATTGTCCTGTTGAAACACAAATGATGTTTCTAAGCCAAGTTTTTGGGCATTGAATGTCATGTTATGGCACAATATGTCAATGTACATATGTACATAATACCATAAATAAAGCACAGGTTACCAACTCTGTTTGGGGGGTGTGGGGTGGGGCTGTACGATGCTCCCTAAAACATGTTTTCCAGTTGGTGTTAAATGCTGTTTTTCCAGTTTGGTGTTAAGCTTTCTCCATCACATTCGAAAATGTTAAATTTTGATTCGTCGGACAAAATAACTGTGTTCCAAAATTTGTCTGATAAATTAACATGAGATTTTACAAAACCCAATCTCTTTCTCCTGTTTATTTCTGAAATGAAAGTTTTCTTTCTAGCTGTCCTTCCATAATAACTTCCTCTATGTCAAACATTCCATTTAGTCTGTACACTAAAAGTTTTATGCAAAGTATTAGCAATATTTTTGGTTAACTGGGATGCACTTATTTTAAGGGTTTCCTTAACCTCTTTGATAGTGCCCCATTTTTTTTTTTTTTTTTTTTTTGGCAGAAAATATTCGAGACCGTCCACTTCTAATCTTATTTTCCGTCGATCCTGTCTCTTTGAACTTTTTTACAACATTTCTAACAGTAAATAAATTTATGTTCAGTTGTAATCCTATAGCATGATAAGTTAAACCCTCCATTCTGAGCTGAATAATCATGTTTTTAGCATTAACATCCAATTCCTTCGACTTCGAAGCCAGTTTATCACAGTATTAGCAAAATAACATTTAAAAAGTTTTAATTAGCATTGCAGACTCTATATAAACAGGGTTTTTTTTATCAGTCTAAACACCTCAACAAAACAAACCTCAACAAAAAAATGACAACAGTGACCTCAACAAAACAAAATTTAAATTACCAATACTTTTTTGACATGCAAATTTACGTTTTTGTTGTATATTTTGTGTAAAAGGCATATTAAATTAAAAGTTTCATTACATTTGTGTTTTTATTACCTCCTGTGTTCGTTATGTCCAGATAAAATTGTCAAGCATTTCCTTTGTTAGGAAATATGATCAATTATAGGCAATTACCAATACTTTTTTTACCCACTGTAATTATTGCAAATTACAGAATGAAATATTTAGCAAGAAATTACCAGTTGATGTATGGCTTTTGCTTGAATTGTACATCTCTATTCTTGCTTTCACTTTTGTGTGTGTGATTTGTACTCGCATATTGCAATACACTGGTTCTCAACAGGGGGCAGTGGAGGGACACTGAGGGGTGAGTAACTTATTTTGTGCAGCAGGGGGATGGCGAGCATGTTTTGGGTGATAGGGGGTGATGAGCATCTCTTCGCATTCGAACTTAATTTCGAAACTCCCCAAAAAATTTATTAAATCGATTATCCGATTTATGCCATTTGTACCAGCAATAAAATGAACTTATGCAATGGCTCTCCTCATGCAATTCTAAGAATGGTGAAATTCATACTGACAAACAAATTAAAGATTTGTCGTTTTTCCTGAACTAAGTTTCTGAAGGCACCGTTTGTCTCAGAGTAACTAGCAACCTCATAAAAAAAAGTGCAACAATGGCCTCTTATATCAAAATTAATAGCTAAATCAGAAAAAGCTTATACCATGGGCAAAGAGTTGATACTGCCTGCTGTCAAGGAAATTTAAGAAACAGTTTTACACCATCCAGCCACATCAGATGTTATGAAAAATGTCCTATTAAGCAATAATACAGTGCGACGATGATTTGATGGCAAGGTGGAAAATAGCAAAGCTGTGTTATGCAAACGCTTGATACTCACCGAATTTTCTCTTCAGGCTGATGAATCAATCTTGCCAAGTACTAATGAGGCTTTACTCTTAGTGTATATCTGGTTTGCGAAGGAGGGAAAAATTATTCAAGAGATGCTTTTTGCAAAGCATTTGATTGCTACCAAAGGTGAATCTGTTTTTAATACTTTCAAAGATTATTTTAATAAGAAAAAAATTCCTCTTGCGAACGCTATATCTATTGCCACTAATGGAGATCCTGCTATTGTGTCCCAAGGCAATATTAATATACTTTCTCTGTGGTGAAAGTATTCAAACATGAGGTAAGTAAAACAGTACTTACCTGAATCATTGGGATACGGCTGTTGTTTCTTTCCGGATTATCCAAAGTATTCAAGGAAACTATTCATACAATGTAAACATCAGTTCAGGATCAGCTTTTGGAATTATATTTAATCTGTGCACAAGTTTTACAAAACGTTATAACAAATATCAGAACTAGACATCCATTTTCTAAGAAATTCATACACAAAACTAACAAAAAGAACATAGATTACATCATAATTCTTCGAGTGTGCGGTGAATCAGTTTACTCCATTATGCGCACACATGCGAAAACTGAATTCAAAGGTGGAACCATCACATATCACAACACCTGCAATGGTGGGTCATCATCATGAGTTCATCACCCTTTTAAAGAAAGAGGTACTGAGCATTTTAGCTCTTTACTGCATGATTCATAGACAGTAATTAGTTGCAAAAAACCTCAGCAAACATTTGCATCAGTCTTTACAATATGCCATCTCTACTGAGAATAAAATTCTCAGCAATGTTCTCAATGATCAATTATTCAGGCAGCTGTATAAGGGCAACAATGATGAACTCAGTTGCTTTTACACTGCCTTAATTTGTTCTGGAATCTTTTCGATTCTGTAATCGAGTTCCTCAAAGAGCAAAATGTAGCTCTGAAAAACAAATTGCTACAATTTAAGATTGATGTTGCTTATATAATTGATTTATTCACAAAATTCATTGGAATTAATTAGCAGCTTCAATGCGAAGAGCTCAATTTGGTTTACAACAAAATCTCTTATTTCTGCTTCCTAAAAAAATTCACTTTGTGGAAGCAGAATTTAGGTCGCAACAAGTTCAGCCAGTTTCCAATCTTGTCTGAACTGCATAAGAGCAGTGAATCCAGGTTAATGCAACACATGTCATTTAGTCTTTGCACAAGGACTTTTCTGAGTGGTTTGGGGATATTTTGTCCCTAAAAGTCCCTCAGTGGGTCATGAATCCTTTTATGAATACTGAGACAGCAGAGGTTCAGCTTCAGGAGGAACTGATCGAATTTTCAACTAATGACAGCCAGCTTCTAGAATGATGATTGTCTCACAAAATTGTGGCTTCAAAGTAACATCAGTCGTCTCTACTCAGAATTGTGGACTATCGTCAAAAACTTTTTAATTCCTTTTTCTTCCTTCTACCTTGTCAAGCGAGGAATCAGTGCTGTGACTGATCTAATTACAAAAACGAGAAGTTGACGCTAAATCGTAGAAAGAGGGGGCTTGCACCATCATCTCTTTAAAAATATTGAACCAAACATTCAGAAATTGGATCTGAATCATTAAGCACAGACATTCCACTGATCGTACTTGATTGTTTCATTGATGCTACTCTTTTAGTGTATTTTTTGCTGTTCTTTTTCAACTATTTAATTAAGAATAAGGACGTTTTAAACATAAAACATCACTTATGCAATTTTTTCCGGCATTAGTCATTTAAATTTTAACGAAAGGAATGTAATTTCTATTTTAATAACTTTCATGCCACTTTCCATCAGAATGTTTGTAAAAATTCCATATAAATTCTGCAACACAGTCCTATTTCAAACTTCAAACTAGAAGACTGAAATTTTCTATTACTCAAAATTTTATTAAATTTCAATACAGTACAAAGTCTGTAATCTGGACTCTTCGGGACTTCGGCAATTCTGGACTAAGGTTTTTTCCGAATTATAGATCATCAATTTAAATCTGGTAAGATGGCATGCAGAAATTATACAATTAAAAATATGAAACCGTAATTTATGAAATAAAGAGCAATTATGATCTAAAGGGTATCAAATTTTACAAAAAAAAAAAAAAAAAAAAAAAAAAAAAATTTGTTTTATTTTTAATTTTATTAAACATTTCTTTCCATATGGGCAACCAAGTATTATGGTATCGTGAATTTATAATGAGAAATTTTAAATATATCAAAGACGGAGTACTCGAATGATGAGGAAATTTAGTAAGGAATTATACGCTGAATACAATAAAACATCTCTGAAGATGAGGATAGTGCTGACAGATCAACTTCCAGTTCATTGTGTGCCGCGACGTTCACCCCCCCCCGGCAGAGCAGCATTAAATTGATAAACAGATTTCAGAATGGTTAGAGAAAAAAAATCATCCAAGCTTCTGATTGCGCAAGTAATATCGTGATAAGTAGAAAAAATCTGGTTCATTTAGACTATGCCTGACTTAAACGATGCTTAAAACCTGGTGAATTCCTTTCCGAATATTTCATTGGCATGTGTGAAATAGCTGGTTGCGGTTCTGTTGATGATTCATCATTCTGATTATGTAATCAATCAGATACTGGATCAGAGTAGTAACAAAATTATTTTGTATGGGTATAAAACTATTTCTGAGTTCAAAGAGAAATTAAAAATTTATGAGAAAATCTGCATTCGAGATACGAAGAATAAGGGTTATTCAAGTACAACAAAACCCAATAAAGTACAGTGCTATACGCGTAATGTATGTACAGCATTCTTTATGCGCATAAGCATACAAGAGTGGCGCTTTTTAGATTATCGATTCTGGATATGGCCTGGAATTACTGACTGTAATACCAGAAAAAAGATGTTTCCATAAGTTCCATAAAATCACTCCTAATCATCTGGCAATGCTAATAAACAATTTTAGGCCAAAACTAAACCTTTAGTGCCAAAGAAATATCTTTAACAACTTCGGTGTCCACTTGAATCGTAACCTCCATCTAAAAATAACACAGTGGAATAATTTTTATGCCCCCCCCTTTTTTTTTTCAATTGTGAGTGTAAATCTCAGGTGACAAAGTTTTGCAAATTTTGACTACTTATTGCATAGTCAATTTTGCGAATTTTACCTTTCTCCTATTGTAATAAAATCCCTGCCTTGCTTGCATCATTTAAATCATAAATGTTATGAAAAAATTAAAAAGTTTTAAAAAACATTAATGGTCTAAGAATAATAATAAAAAAATCTCTTCTAGTTTGGCATACAAATTTTTAAAATGTCTGCATCTAAATATGCCACTTCACAAAAACAAAATGTTGAAGAAAATGTAATACAAAGCACAATAAAATCCTGGATTTATTGATAAACACATATTACTTTACTTACTTTATATTTTCATTCATTAAATGAGATATACGAAGAATATTCCACTTTCCTAAATGTAAAAACAAAGTAATCAGTAAATTAAATGCTTTCAAATGTAAATTCTCATGCACTTTTTAAAAGCATGAATGAAAAAATACACCTACAGTAAAAAACTTAACAATATATCTTCATAAAAGTCTACATACAAAAATAACAGACTGCAAGACAGATCTGAAAAATGGCCTTCAAAATTCTCTCAGACATATTTTAAATGTAGTACAGTCAAAAGTCTTTAATCTGGACTCGTCGGAACTTCGGCGATTCTGGATTATCGGTTTTTCCGGATTATAGATCATCAGTTTAAATCTGGTAAGATGTCATGCAGAAATTATAAAATTAAAAATCTGAAACCATAATTTATGAAATAAAGAGCAATATGATCTAAAGGGTATCAAAATTTACAAAAAAAGCTTAATATTTATTTGTTTACTTTATTAAACATTTCTTTCAACGCGCGCATGCGTAAAGCATAGTCGAAATTAGAAAATTGCAACCAGAAAAGTATTTGATGTGTATTTGTGATATTTATAATGACGAGGAATTTGATTTAAATCATATCAAAGACGGAGTACATCGAGATGAAATACTACATTTAGTAAGGAATTATATGCCGAATAAAATAAAAACATCTGAAGATAAGGATAGTGCTGACAGATCAACTTCCAGATAATTGTGCGCCGCGATGTCACCCCCCCCCCCCGGAGAGCAGCGTGAATTTGATAAACAGATTTCGGAATGGTTAGAGAAACAAAGGATATGCCTTTATCCATTTTTTTTCAGCAATTCCACTTTTTGTTTGATGGACATCGACACATGCTTTCGCTTTGTTGATCCTTTGGTAGCTCCAGAATCGGAAATTCTTTTTGACATAATCGAAGTTCAAGCTTACTTGTATAAAATTGTTCTAACACTCTGCAAAAAATAATAAGCCGGGTCCAATTCGAAGATTAAGCAACAACGCAATCTGCAACATTAACTGAAATAGATAATTAGATAATTTTGGCTTAGCTTATACCGTCCGTTATACATTAAACACACATGCATAAATGCGTAAAGGTATTATGTGCATGCGTAAACGCATTACTGTGTTTACGCATGTGCAGAAAGTTTGCGTCCGGATTAAAGACTTTTGACTATAATTGATCACTGATAATACTTAACTTCAACCGTAATCATTAATATCTGTATAATAAATTAACATCATTAATATCCATATAATAAATTAACATCATTAATATCTGTATAAAATATCAATTTTATTTATTTAATTTATTTCATATATTTTACAGAATTCTTATTGTTATTAGTAGTAGTACTGAAAATCAAATACTTTGTAGAGTCCATTGAATGAATTTCTGTTGTATACTGGAGTAGCAGGAAACTACACAGGAGAAGGATTAAAGTACCCTTTATTAAATCTTTATTAAAATTTACAATGTGTCAACTCGACGCTAACAAACTTCACCTCTGCTTGGGTGGTAACTGAAAGTCAGATAATTGAAACTAAAAGTTGAAATATTAACAAGTCATAAAACTAGCCTACAGGACTAAGCGAGATCCCGTAACTTAAACCACCTTTGAAGCTAGTGGCAGCAGATAAGTGCAATTAAGCCCCTTGAACCAGCAATAAGCAAACATACCTATGGCAGAGACAGCAGCTAGAGCCTAACTCTTTCTTTCTCCTACCGAAACTCGGATTTAACTACTTCCTTCAAAATAGAAAATTTGCTTTTCCTTCTGTGTGCTACAACATTTAACTATTCTGGCACTGACAATTAGGGAAATGAAGTTTTACACGAAAGGTCTAAACTCAAACTTTAAATTGTTAGTTAAAACAAATATAAATCCCTGCAACTTATTTATGAAATAAAGATAACAAACTTACATGAAAAATCCCGTAAAATAGTAATAAAATGTTATCACCAAAAGCAAAGAGTTGACAAGCTGTATTAGAACAATTTTTAACTATATGAATATATACCATTACAAACAAGAAACACACACACACAAAAAAAATAATAAATAAATAAAATAAAAATAAAAAATAAAATAAAATAAAATAAAAAAATAAAATAAAAATAAAGGGTAAGGGATAGAGATGCCATTTTCTTAAAATTAAAACAACAAATCTATAAATAAAAAAGAGGAGAAATTCAGAAATGATGCTTACTTTCTACTTTATTAAACACTGTTCTCTTATCTACAAATACTTGACAATTAATCAAAAACTGATCTTCAGATATTTCTAAACAATTTGCTTCATATGCCTTTTCCACTTGCTCTTTTTCTTTGATATAAGCAACACTAGCTTTTGCTTTTTGAATTGCAGCATGAAATGAAAATACCATCGAGAGTTCAGGTGGTGGATTGCAGAAAATGTACTTTAAACTGAATAGCTGAGAATAAACATAAAATTATGAAATACTGTATAGTTTGCATATATTTAAAACAATGTCTTTATAATTTTAAAAAAGTACAATTCTTATTTCATACAATATATGTGGTGTATGTGTAATGAATTTAGAAATGTCACTGATGTTGCATATGTTGAAGCATACATAGAGGAAGAAGCTTACAATCCTGTCCGAATTATACATTCCTTTTTATTTAGTTGACCAAGAACTTCAATAAGCTAACATAAATAATGTGAGCACCATAAAACCTGTTTTTAGAGAATTGAATCCATGTCATTACATTTTTAAAAATATAAGTGAAATAAAATACTGAATAAAATATAAAATATTGAAAAGAGGAAGAGTACACAGATGTTATTAGCAGGAGAAGCAAAAAGCAAATATGATGTGTTCAAGACAAAACTTTAATTCAGAATGTGTGATTTCAATATCATTTGAATGGCTAATCAATAGAACTCTAAAATTATAATTGGCTGTCCGAATTTCATTTTTTTAGAGTGTCACTAGTGTTGTGAAAAAATCATATGACATGGAATAATCTGGAAATGACGCTGTCTAAAGATGTTTATTGTAAATAATTATTACTTTTAGAACAGAAAGGGAAAATACTCACATTAAAATAAAAATTTAAAGGGACTCTAAGATGAAAGTAATCAGCAGTGAAACCAAAAAATATATAATATTTTTATTTAACCTGTTATGATGAAAACAAAAGTGGCATGGCTTTTTGTTTTTGCTCATAAAGAAATATGCTTAAATCGCATTCATAAGCCACACTTGTATAATTACATATTTATTTTGTTTTCATAATTTTTCTTTCTTTTGAATATCATTTAAGAACACAAAAAAGTAAAATATTTGAAATAATAATATATACGAAGGGACAACAAACCTAATCTCAAGACTTATGGTAATCATCCACTATTTTTATTTTCATCCACAGAAATTTAATCCACTATGTGGATGATGAAGATATGATTTGAAGTGGTATTTAATACTAGACACTAAGACTAAATGGCGTAACAGCTGTAATGGGCCAAGGCCTGCAGTGCCCAAAATGTGCTTTCTTGACCGTGGGCCTAGGGATGCATAAGCATATGCCCTGAACAAGTGGTCAACTTGTCATAGGACCCCCGGTGTTTAGTCCCCAAGTGAACTTGGTACTCATTTTTTGACCCAAGGGATGAAAGGCTGAGTCGATCTTGCCCAGCCCGTTAATCGAACCCCGGACCTGTGGTGCTGCTTCGCGATGCGCTAGCCCACTGTGCCACCGGGCTTCATTTAATACTAGATACTTTTCTCTTATTTATCATATACAATTTAAATGTTCTCTTAGTCTTTCGACAATATCAGATTACTAACATTCAAATTGGACATTAAAGATTATAAAATATAAGAATGTTTTAGTTCATGAATTCCTTCAAAATTATAATATAAAATCAACCAGGCATAATCACTGAAGAAGGTGCATAATTATCAAAAGCACTCTATAAAAATTAGTTTTCAAATGTGAAAACTCTAAGCATAGTAAAAGAAATTACTTTAATTCCCTGGCAAATACTATCAACAATCCATATACATAAATATTTGTAAAACAGACTGATCAAAATATTAGCAGAACTCTAAAATAAATCCTAAATTATATGATACATTATTATATCATGTACACAACCAAAAAATTCCATAACAATTACAGATAAACCCTTAATAAATTTTAATAAAGCTCTTCAGCACTTAATATTGTCAAGTAGATGTCAGGAAAAAAAACTTTATATGTAAATAACAGAATTTTATATCTGTACATGAGAAGTTATAATTGAAATACAGTAGAGGTGGACAAAACTGCTCTTTTATGTGATCAGATCAGAACTATCATTCAATGAAATGAATCAGTTCTTTTTTATGACTCACCGCTCACAAACAAAGACCTTGATGAAAAAGATCCAGAATGAGGGGTGAATCAACAGCAGTTAGCATGTGGGGCTACCTTCCCCCCCACATTTCTTCAGCTCATCAAGTTCTTTTCCTTGCGCATGCAGGATAAGAATCTCATTCTCTGCGTGACTGCAAAAAGAGAACTTTTGACTTCGGTTTTTTACGAGTCCGTGTACACACTGTATTAATCATTGAGATTTATGTTATCCTAACGCTATGTATATATTTTGATTTATTAAAAGAGTTTATTTTTCTAAATGGGTGTCTAGCAGTTAATAAGACCCCAAAAGCATGACTGGAATGAAGAGTGAAAAGAACCAAACAAGCAGTGGAATTGAAAGAAATGACTCAATGGAGCACTAATTCCCTGATCTGGTTTCTTTCAACTTCAACTTTGAAATTACCTAAAATCTCCTTTCTACACATAGCTAATAATAAAATTTTAGAATAAGAATTTTTTTAAAGTCTGGAAATGATAAATATTAAATTCTCTTTTAACACAAGAAGCTAAATATTCCTTTCTTCCCTAAAATGAATACTGAACTTTCATGAAATGCTTCCAACAAGAACTCAGCTTTATTTATTTATTTTGGCAAATCTCACATTTACTCACTCAGTAAAGTGAATCAGTTCACGAATGAATGGCAGATCTCTATTCCTGGCACGCTTCTATCAAGAGCCATCCGTGAACTGTAAAAGAGCTTTATTTTCTGGAATTGCAGTGAATTTGATCCGTAAAATGAATTAGTTATTTGAATCAGTTTTAGAGCAGATTGTCCAGCTGTAAAATACAGCAGCCATGAAATTACTTTTCTCAGCTTCTATTTGTCAGAGAAATAAATTATTAAGAATATAATTATTCTTCAGGAATAAATAAAAATAACTCCATTTTAGGGAAAATAAATGTCATTTCAAATTATCGCTACACAACTTTCAATTACATATGATTCTGTTTACCTCTTACTTTGGCAACAGGTTACTTGCTGTTAGAACATACCGTGTTAGAACATACATGTATCCCACTTGCTACTGGAACGTACACAGCACCCTCTAGCCGAATGGCACAGGTTACTTACTGTTAAGTATTTCCCATGCCATTCGGCTAGAGGATGCTGTGTACTTTCCAGTAGCAAACAGGATATGTGTATGTTCTAATAGCCAGTGACAGGCAGGATTCTAAAGGTGTAGGGTGTGAAAGGCAGATATGCCTAATAATATATCTTTAACTATTGAATTTGTTATATATTCTTATAGGTAAATTTTGTTATTGTTTTCAAAAGCCTCTTTGATTACCTTTAGACACACGGAACCATTAGAAGAAATATTTGGTGCATCTTGTCCACGAATGTGGAATATTGGAAGTAATTGGTCATTACTGGATTATAATTCTGAGAAGTTTGGATACTTTATTTGGCTTTTGTATACATTAAAACATTTCTGCATACAGGGCTGTGGAGGTAAGATCTTTTGAATTTACAAATTCTGAGTTAATATGGATAAGCTTTTGCAAATAATTGGAAAGAGAAGTAACGCTTGTGCTAGTGTTACAAAACTAGTTAAAAGAGTACAGAAGCTCGATGAAGCTGCCGAAGAAGTAAGTTCATTATCAGAATTACTGGAACTATTAGAGATGAAGGAGCAGATTTTGAAAAGAAATAAGCAGCAGAAAATGTTTAGCCGACTTCTTCAGTTCTTAACACATCTAGAGTTTCGGAAAATACCATTAGGACTTTAAAATTACAAAAGCTAGAAATTTTGCGATTCTCTGGTGATTCTAGCAAGATTATAAAATTCTTAACCCCTTCGCGCCGGCTGTCACGTATACGTGCCAGCAACGAACACACTTATCTACTGGCCGACACGTAGGCGTGACAGAGCATTGTTGGGTTTTCTACCGACTGTCACGTATTTGTGCCAGTACCTTGGAAGTTTTCAAACTTAATTTCTGCACAAGATGGCATTGTATGCCCATATGGTTTCAGATACATGTACACTAGACCTTGTACTCGAATGAGAGAAGCATGACTTACATACACGTGTTTTTGATTATATAAACAAACGGGGAACTAAATGTTTCCGAAGGCAATTTTGACGTCTCTTTAATCTCACTTTATTCGCCGTGTTTTTTTCTTGTAAGCATAAGTTTATATGCCTAAAGCGTTGAGTATTTCGGTTTACAGTTCAGTTTTTAGAAAATAATTAGATCTTGTTAGATGTGAATTCTTTCTGTTTTACCGTTTCACTCGAAGCATCGAAAATGTTTAACAGAGCATGAAAGCAGAAATGATGCAAAATTCAGATATTGATTCTGAAATTCTGATATTGATCGAAAGATTACTGAAAGACATTTTCCAAAACTTTGTTCAGAAGAGATTGATAAAAAATGAGACGACGATGCTTCGTTTGTTCACATTCCCGGAAAAATCCTCCAAAACGGCAAATGAGTTATTACGAGTTCAAGGAATGTAACGTAGGACTGTGTGTAGATCCCTGTTTTAAAATTTTTCATACGAAAAGAGAATTTAAGTAATATATTTAGTTTTTAGATGTATAGTGTAAAAGTCACAAAATGGTGAGTAATTAAAATAAATGTGTAAAATATGCATTTAAACAAAAAATACGGTAATTAAAGTATATATATAAATATCTATAAAGCATAAGCCATTTAATACTCTATAGAGCATTATTAAACAATGCATTGAACTTTGGAAATTTCATGGATTTAGGCTTAGTACAAAAAGCCCCGGCCCTGGAGGCGTCGTGAATCAGCGGCCCCGCGATAAGCGCACGTTTTTGCTACCCAGCTCGAAGGGGTTAAACTGTTTTGATAATGCAATCGGTTCAAATAATTCACTTACAAAAATTGAAAAATTCCAACATTTAAAATCCTTTTTTTTTTCTAGTCCTGCATATAATGTTATTGCGGGTTTTGAATTAAATAAGAAAAACTATGACTCCTGTCTTGAACTTTTAAAACAAAGATATAGTAGAACTGATTCTATTATAAATTCTTACATGACTAAATTATTAAGCTTAGAACCCATGAG